TTGCAGATTACTTTCGTTTAACGTCACTACAGCCTGTTTTATAACTTTATCCAACAATATTCAAAATTATACCATAAACATGTTTTGTTTAAGAATCTGTGTGAAATATTTTTGTTAATAAAGTCATTACGTAGTTTACAATCGAGTCAATAACGGCCAATTAAAATATGAACCTCTAATTCGACTAACTGCTTCACACGTTAATTGACCTTTAAATATTGGACTGTTAATAAAGAAAATTGAGGTAATGGACAAAAATAAATTATTGTACCCATAACATTTTGTTAATGCAAAAAACAATAGTTAAGGAAACCCCTTATTTAGAGAATTTTTCAATTTGTTTAAGCAATGATCAATTTTACATAAAAAAGAGTGTAAAGCAAATATAAATTTTAAGTTTTTTTTTTATAACAAAAGCTGTCAAACGAGCAAGCGGTCACCTGATTCCGTCAAAATGGCGAATCGACCGCTGCCCATAGACATCCGCAACTGCAGATGCGTTGTCTACCCTTATCGACGGAGGAAGAGACGCACTTAAAGAGGATATTTCCCCTTCCTATGCATCTCCTCCACCGTCAAATCCGCGATGTTAAAGCGAGCACTTCCACTGCCAATAAAATGTAAAATTAATTTTAAAAACACTAAATTAATTAAACTCCATAAATTCATATCGTTTTAATCTACCCTATTATTAATTTTACCGTTCTAATAAGTTAAATACTGTTGGTGCTACGGCGTAGCATAACCTCATGAGATGTAGAACGCTACGAAAGATAATTCTCTCATAAGTAAGTTAACAGAGGATACGTCTACGTTTTACGGGAGTTACACTTCACGTAGAATCTAATTAGTTTGGTGTGGATGCATGAAACGTGTACGAGTTCCCGAGTTAGTCTTCATTACGTTATAAGCCTTGTTTATTACGATAATTGATATAGAATTAAGGCTTTGTTACGTGATAGATTAACAGAGATGGGTCTCAATTAATAATGTTTTTGTTGTGGGAAAGAATACTATCTTTGGTTCTTTTGGTTTATTTATATTTTTTTATGAATTATGTTACGCTGAGATTGATGTCTTTTTCATCCATTTAACATACTTAAGTAATTATTTATCTTATAAAAGAAATTTGAATCAGAAATTGGGGTGCATTATTATTAATAAAAAATGTTTTTAAAATAATCTGTAGTTTATTACAGTATTGCTTGTTAAGTTTAAAAGTAAACAGTTATTTCGAATTGTTTTAAACATGTCTTATCCATATTATTTCTTACATCCTAAGCATGAAAGCTTTTCGGATGTTGGTTGGGATCACGGAAGATTTAGCAGTCTCAGTGTAGTAGGGGGTTAGGGGGTGGGGATGGGAGCAATTTGCCCCTAATCATGTGATGAAAAACTTAACTCAACTTCTCTTTTATCCGGATAATATACAACCCTTAATAATATAAAGTCAATCTTCATTAGTTACTTAAGTATATGTTGAGTTAAGGCTATTTATATAATGTTTTATTTGCTTTATATGATTGATGGTGTACATACGTAAAATATCATTTGAAACACCAATTTAGTCGAATGTAAGTGAAAATTTAAATTAGTGAATTTATTGGAGATTGAATGGGGGTACAACTTTTAAGCATAATTTCGTATTTGCTCTTGTATATTAATACTAGCAGTTCCCGTGTTAATTAAATCATAAAAATTTTATTTTATTGTTTACATGTGTCAAATTGTCAATTGCAAATATCAAAATGACATGACATTACAAAACTTGGCAATCTTGCTTCCTTGATGTTGGCAGCAACTTATGGTCTCCCACATTAGGGTTTCTATCCAAAATATTTACCCCCTAAGTTTAATAGCGTGAAAATATATAGCCTAAAGCGTGATGTAGTGTAGGGCTTTTTATTAAAGAAAGAATTATTCAAAAGTATGGTGTAATTGCTGACATCTTAGGCAACAAAGAAGTGTATGTTTACGCTTTATTATAATAGTATAAAAAAATTACTGCGCGACAGTTAATCACTATCTTATAATTACCTATTCAAAACAAAGTATGCAAAAGTAGAGTTATAATTTCAAAAGCGCAAAAACAACCCACATCATCACTTAAAAGTTACGCCCGCTCGCGTAATTACGTCAAACGGGACGTAATATTTTAAAACATTTCATACGTGAAGTTAAAGGAAGTTAGCGATGTCGGTGAAAGTATGTTAAGAAAGCAGGGGGAGGTGAAAATGTGACGAGTCGACGTCACATGATGGCGGAGGTAATGTATCGTAATTGCATGTTTGACGGTTTAACGATAATGATTGGCGTTGAAACTTTCATATAAATGTTGGTAAGAATTAACTTGACTAAGTACATTTAACTTATAGATGGGACATTCTTCCAATTATTAGAAGCCGACTATTCAACTAATTACTCTTTCTCTGATAATTATTTATTAAATAAACTACCCCAAAATTTGTAACAAATCTTAGTAATGAAATAAATGCCGAAGTTTATAAACATGGGAAGTCTCGAAGAAATTTAGCACAGATATAGGTCTGGAAGAACACATAGGCTAGTTACTTTTGTTTTTTTAAATTCAATGTAGTCGAGGTCGCGGGCGAAAGCTAGTTTAGTAACAAAACTCAACAATGACAATGAATAAAAGATACAAAAGCTATTATTCAAGTATCTTTTGTTAGTTCATAACATAAGCAATTAGCGGACCACCCGCTAAAAGTGTGATTACACTTGGCACCAGCAAACAATATATTTGTTATTATTTAACTCGAGTGCACTCGGCGCAGTATAACGAAGGCAAACATTTAACCGAACAGTAGGTAATTACCGCGCCCCCACTGTTCTCGACACCCCTTATAACAACCAATTTACATTGACCCACCGCTATTCATTAAATGCCTTTATACAGTATCACGATTTTGATAGATTAGGGGACGGTGGAGGTCGCGAATCTTTGGTCTTTATCGATACAGTGACAGGGTCGTATGCTACATGTGTTTAGTAAAACCTTGTTGGTACAAGGGTTGATTGTTTTATCGACTGACTGTTATACAAGACATGTTTATAGTCTAAGGAATTTTATTATAAAGATAACTTCACTTTAATGTTTATTATCATAAAGCACGCTATATATGGTTAATTGTAAGCTGTTAAGCTGTTAATTAAGAGATTTAAAAAAATCTATCAAATTTAGCTTAACCTAGAATATGAAAGCATTAGGTTCATGGCTCTTCAATCGTCTTCTCCATTGCATATGTCATGTATTTCTCAATATCCCTTACAATATATTTTTTTATAACATAAGGTGGCAAACGAGCAAGTGGCCACCTTGTTCCACCGAAATGGAAAGCTCCGCTGCCCATAAACATCCACAATTACAGATGCGTTGCCTACCCTTAATTGACGGAGGAGGAGAAGTACATAAAGAGGATATTTCCCCTTCCTATCCGTCTCCTCCACCGTCAAATGCACTTTTCCTTCCCATCCTTTCCTCTTAAGAAAAGGGTGGAAAGGGAAAGGGACTAAAATTAGGCCTCCGGCACCACACTCATCAGACGAAACGCGCAATTGCTTTCACATCACGCCTGTCTTCTGTGTGGTCGTGGTATTTCACCGGGCGAGCCGACCCATTAGTGTGAAGATATTAAAGCGGGCTAATATGTCGAGATTTTTATATTCCTGGTAACTATAACTAATGTGAATATTTTTCTACAGACATTCTAGTAGGATAGCAAATAAATGAAAAAAGTGGTCGCTACGCTATTAATGCGAAAGTTTAGACGGATGGATGTTTGTTACATTTTGTAGTAAAAATTACTGAACGGATCTCGATAAAATTTGGCACAGACGTAGAGGATGTTCTGGAAGAACACATTAACTACTTTTGTTACTTATAATTCAACGCGGAATCGCGGACGAGAGCTAGTTGAAAAGATCTTATTTGTGACCGTGTTTATTGATTTTTAAATTAGCTACACAGTAATATAATATCTGTTGTTGAACACGAAGCATCCCTTCAACAATAAAATGAAGACGTAAGGGGTGCGTTGGGGTTGGCTGTCTCTCAACGCGTTTAAATATTAATACTACTCTAGTAAGAGATAAAAACTATTAGGGCGGCCGTCGGATTATGGTCGGATTATTATTTTAACTGAATTAGCTTACGATCGCTAAGGGTATATTTTGATGCTTGACGCGTCACAGAGTAAATAAAAACAGAGGTATCAGGTTTTAAATAAAAAATTGTAACTTTAATTATAGGTTTAATTTTGAAAGAATTTACTAACGAATATTAGAACTACAAAATTAACACTGCGATATTCGAACAACACAACAACAACAAAGAACAATTGTACTAAGTATTTGTTTATTTTTAACTTTCATTTGTACAAACAGTATTTTTAACTAAGAAACCTTTCGTTATAATGCACTTTGTATTAAAAATGTACAAACACAGTGAAAGTCTTGATATTTAACCTACTAACTCGTCTGTGTTACATCATCACGATGAGATTTCATAGCATCAGAGAGCTTATTAAAAGTAAATTGCGAAAATTGCAGTGCAAATGTGGCCCGACTCTTGTCGTGTACGGCTAACTAGCTTACACTGTCCAATCACATGAGACCCATTATCCGCTGTATTTAACACAGTTGTGTAGGTCTACTTTAATTGGATATTGTTGCAAATCACCAATATAAATAGACCTATCGTAGCATACATTGTTAATAGTGATAGAGGTCTTATTTATTGGATATTTTCCCCTACGTAGAAGCGATGTGTAAATCTTTTAGTTATAATAAGCAACAAAATGGGGTGGTAATGATGCAGTATTAAGGATTTGTAGTGTTGACAGGTGGTATACAGGATTAGGTGGCTTAAGGAAATGGTTGTTATTTTGTATTACCATAATTCATGACTATTGGAAACAAAGAGACTTGAGGAGATCATATATAGATCCGTAGTTCAACGTAATGATTTATTATTTTAATAGGTATGGTTTCAAAACCGAAGAGCGAAATGGCGGAAAGCGGAGCGCTTGAAAGAGGAACAAAGAAAGAGGGAAGGCGCTGAGGTGATGGCGAAACGAGATACTGCTGACGATAAGGTATGAATCATTTCCTGTCCACACTCCCTAAAATGTAGCGTATAAAACACCAAGAGACTTTATTTGCATTACTTATGTCAGGTTGAGCCGCTCACATTACTACGCAATATTTAAGTTACTTTTGTACTATTATTAGCTTTACCAAAATCATGTTCCTTGGCGTAATAATCGAGACCATATACCATAGACTTATTAGGATTTTAGAGCGGGCGCACACCTTTGACTAAACTATAGCAACTGTTTAGTTGCACAACTAAAAATAAAATAGAGTACGCACCTCCATATAAGAGCGTGAGAATCATAGTTGTTTCAGTATATCTGATTTAAGTAACTGTCCAGGGTTCATCGGAATGCATGTCTCGAGGGTCAGGCGAAGCGTCTCCGATGTCAGGCGCAGCGTCTCCCCGAGCTTCGCCCCCTGTCACGCCAGGCTCACCACGTCGTTCGCCATTACGCTCCCCACGCTCACCACGCCACTCGCCTAGCAGATCGCCTAGGCTTGACAGGTAGAAAATTAAAACTAAACGAACAAATAAAATAATGGGACTCACCTGCAAGCACTACCTTTGAGGTAAAAAAAGAATTTTCAAAATCTATCCACCAGGGGCGGAAATATGCGGTAACATACAAAAAAACATTCAGAGAAATTGAGACCCTACTTTTGAGAAGTAGGTTAAAAAGAATATCATCTTATGTACCTATACAGAAAAGTACCATGGGTCTTTTTAATATGTGTAAGTAGTATAACCAAAGAAACACACCAGGTCGGAGGCGGGATGCTCACCAGCGCCATCGGTAGGCAGCGCGGGTTCGCGAGACGCTGCACCCGACCCTCGGCCACAGCATCACATCTTCTCACCCTTCGAACAGTAAGTGTATAAATACACGTAAAATATCGAAAACGAGCGAATTTAGAAACATTATTAGCATAAAAATAAGCCTTTTAATAACAAAATCGTTGATAGAGAATCAACTAAAAACTCTTTCGTCTGTTACTAAATGAAGTTATATTACCAAAAAAGCACACTAACAGAAATGGTATAAAATTAAGCTTGATGAACAAACTTTATTACTTATAAGTTTAATAGCGTGAAAATATATAGTGTAGGGCTCTTCTAAAAAATAATAATTCAGAAATATAGAGTGATTGCTGACATCCTACATAACTAAGTAGTGTGTGTTTACGCTTTATCTTTACTTATTTTATAAAGAAAACAACTTTGTTTGTTTGATTGTAATCAATAGGCTCAAAAACTACTGGGCCGATTTTAAAAATTCTTTCACCGTTAGAAAGGTTGTTTATCTGTGAGTAACATAGGTTTTACTTTTTCATTTCTTCGTCTGTATCGCTGGCAATAGCTGGTATTATTGTAAATTCGTATGTTATTTTACAAACGTTTAATGAACTGTTAGCGGCAGTGTTCAACAGATTTACAGAGTTGAATGTTGAATCATCGTCGATTCTTAACGCATGTCGTCATGTCGGGCTTCATGAAGATGAGTGTAGTTGGCAATTAGTTAATTAAGGCCTCTCCGGGCCGAGTTAGTCTAATGAAGTGTAATTATATTGCGCGCAGGCGCACTATACAGACCACGCCGTATGGATAAACACGCGTCGGAGAATTAACTGGAATCCTGTTTGAGCTGACTTTGCTAATTGAAAAGTCTGTCTATGTAATGAAATATAATAACATGCATATTATGAAATTATAAGCACTTTACGATGTGTTAGTTTGTAATACTTAAGTAGGTTTTGCGTTTAGGAGAAAATTATATATTTCATGAATAGTTTGCATAGTTACAAATAACATTTTAAATATGTAAAAAATCTCAAAATAGTTTAATTCTATTTGCTAATAATAAACGTATTTCACAGATATTTCTTTCTTCTATTATATTATTATAAAGAGAAAAGATTTGTATTTTCTTATGTATTGAAATAACTTAAAAAGTACTGGGGAGATTTCTAAAATTCTTTCACCATTAAAAAGCTACGTTATCGCTGAGTAACATAGGCTATATTTTTTAAATTACTCGTCGACGAATTTGCGAGCATCAGCCAATAATTAAGTCTATAGTTAAGGTGACTTATTTATTCGTTATATTATCTTTGTTCAGCTAAATACAGTGGTAAAATCATGTAACTGTTAGTGATTGGTGATTACACCATTAGTGGTAAATGACGCGAGAATAACATTGGAGTCCTGATTGTTGTCGAGACCGACGTCAAAGTGAGGAGAGTAATTGGCCAGGTCGTTAGAATTGATCACAACAATTACGAGGCCTAGCTTTAACGATAAAGATTTTATATTACAATTTCAAATTATTGTACGTACTTGTTAAGTTTATTAATTTGAACGATTTAGAGCTAGCCAATTCAACTGTTTAGTTGTACAACTAAAAACAAATAGTGTGCACCTCCATATAAGCTCAGAGGAATCAAAGCGCGATTAAACAGTTGTGCCATGGTTTAGTCAAAGGTGTTCACACGCTTGTAGCAAACATAATATATAGTTACTTAATTTTTATCTATGACAACCTGTAAGAATTAACAAGTTGAATAGATATTTAGGAAATTCTTTCAGAGATGACTTCGAGATTCAGATATTTTTCGCTTTTCCTTTCGTAGTCTTTCCATTTCTTTTGTTATCTATAAATAATGTTTTAGTTGTAGTATTAACACATTTAATCCGGAATTTCTATTTTCAAAACGTATGTACAAAAACGTATTGTTATCTCAAGTTTTATTAAAGGAAACGAAAGGGATGTAAATACATTTTACGTATGTTTCAATAAGAACAAAGGAATAGAATTTTATAAATTTGAAATAATCAGATGAAAGTGTGCAGTTAAGTAGAATCGGTGTCGTGTTTCCAGTCTGAAGTAAGATTGATTCTAATCGAATTAGAAGCAAGTTTAATTAACCAATAATAATAAGCGGGGTTAAGTTCGTTCCACTTAAACAAACGACTTAAACAACTTGACTACACTTTAACTGTCTAAAGTTTCATTAAAGTCTGAATTACTAGCGATTATTAATTTTGATTTTCGATTGTATTTCTTTTGATAAATTGTGTTTTTAAATGCTACTTATTAAAGCCTTTTTATTAATCTTCTATAAAAATATAACGCATTTTAAAATACTTAATAAACTTTCTACAGTAATAAATAAATGCAGTTCAAGAGATTTCGCAATGAAATAAAACAACTAAATGTATAGGAAGGCAGTTAAGCGGGCATCAGACGAGTTAAGCAAGATGGCGGCACATCCGGTCTGCCCGGAAGTGGCTTTAATGCGATCTGCAGAGCTTATAGCGCCCCGGAGTTATCGCACATACTCTACCGCTAGCTTACCAACTTATGTAATCACAAGTTATCATTTTACACCTATAATTTTAATTTCAGAAGTTTTAAGAATAATATATTGTGATATCAATTTGCTAATAATTCGACAGTATCATTCTTGGTGTAAATAAATTTTTATTTAACTAATCTATACTTAATATTATAAAGAGGAAAGATTTGTATTTTTGTATGTATTGAAATAACTCAAGAACTACTGGGCCGATTTTAAAAATTCTTTCACCGTTAGAAAGGTAATTTGTATGTGAGTAACATTGGCTATATATTTTTTTATTTAACAAAACCAACAACGTACATATATAAAACACTTAACATTGAGTATTATGTATAGTAAGGCCAATGACAGGTTTTTATTTATAGTTATAAAAGTATGTAATTCAATAATAAAGAAAAATATGATGAATCAAAAGAAAAAAAGAAAGTCACACATCACGGTAAGGGAGTATAAATGAATGTAAAGAAAAAATAAAATCTTACTAATATTATAAATGCGAAAGCTTAGATGGATGCATGGATGTTTGTTAGGGTCTGCAGCGTAAACAGCTGAATGGATCTCGATGAAACTTGGCACAGACGTGGATGATAGTTTGGAAGAACACATAGGCAATTATTTTATTATTTCATATATTTATTATTTTTTTAATATAATAGGGACGATGTCGCGAGCAACAGCACGATTTATAAATCCCCAGAACTTATTCAAAACTGACTAAATTAAATTAATAATGTATTTAAAATTGACCACTTATCCAATGATTCACAAAAAGCTGTTGCGGCAATTAAAAGCTTCAATTAAAACAACATTTGTCGTCACCGACGCATTCGGGTAACGAACCCGCGACGTTTCGGCAACCCTTGCCCGCCCGCATCACTCTAATTGCCCACATTAATATGACAAATAGATTTACATCGGACTGTTACACTCGCGTTACCATATAATTATGGAATTCGCATTAAGGTCATAGATTTTAACCCTTTCACTGATATCTTTAAATTTTTTTTTAATTTTCTATGCAATCAAAACCTGGTCGTCTCAAAATCAAATACTAATCTGGTAAATGAAGTAAACAACTTTTGGCGATAAGAAAATAGTTAACATTTGACTTGTTTTCCATAGTACCAGGTATTTTTAGAGGCATTGAGACTGTATAAGTTAATTAAAAACCGTTTCTTATCGCTAGAGGTCGCTGTCGTCAATTATTGTACGAATTTCAATAATTATTATTAAACAACGGACTGTGGCGTTACTTCAATACGTTATGACAATCCAAATGTCGTTAACGGGCACACACCCGCGTACCGATTGTCGAGTTAAACTCATTACGCGATCATTTGTCGGCACAACGCGCTTCCTAACTTCACCCCAACACATACTGCATACCATACACTTGAATTTACTGTTGGAGTAAAATATAAATAAAATTATTATTTCCTAGAAAAAGGTTATATCTTAATTAATTCCAAACAATTTGTTAGTTATTAAATTGTTTAAACTATCGTGAGACATTACTTCAAGCGAAAATTAATTAAAAACGGCTCAACTCACGCTTTTTTCTCCGGTGACGGCACCGACTAGTTTCGGATCCTTCGGGGATCCTTCTTCAGGGCGAGTATTATTTAACTTTTGTTTGCGGTCGCGTCGCGCCTCGCACTGCGGGCCAGGGCGCGGAGGGCGCGGTTCGAGGGGGCGGGGGGCGCCAAGAGCGTTGTGGCCGCTTCGTGCTTCGGCGACGGAGATGTCGACGGGTTCAAAAATGTTGAAGTGTCGCTATTGTTGTTATTAAAATTTGTTAGTTAAAAAATCATACAGTTAAAGAAATAATAATCTTACTAATATTATAGCTGCGTTTTGACTGTTTGAACTAAACAGTTGAATGGATTTCGATTAAATTTGGTATAGATGTAGAGTATAGGCTGGAACACATAGGCTACTCAGTTTTTTCTCTGTAATTCTACGCGGACAGAGTCGCGATCGAAAGCAAGTTCTTTATAAGTTCCAATGTACAAAAGTGTTTCGAGTGTAAACTCACAGTAAAGTTGTCATTGTCGTATGTAGACCGTCGTAAAATTAATCGCGTGTCTGTTTAAGTCAATTCAGCTCTCGTTAATTCCGTTAATTAAATGGTGCGTTTAATTTACTTTGATGAGAACTTTGTATTTTCATGATATCATTTCGTCTATATTCTGTTTGATTGAATAAGAAAAGAGAATCTACAATTTACACTTACTTCAAAGTAAACGACATGTAAACTTTATCAAACGATTTATTAGTTTGTTTTGAATTTGCATCAAAAATGAATATGATTTTTGTCATTTATTGTTTTTTTTTTATATGTTTAGTTTTAAATTAATAATTAATGGCTATCACTAATTCTGTGTGTTGCCAAAGATTATGTCGTCATCGATTTGCGTTCTTCATTCTGTTTGTATCTTTTGTCTGGTAAAATTAATTCATTGAAAAAAAAGTGTACATAGATGGATGATTGTAAGAGTTTGCCGCTTAAAC